TCTCCGAATGCAGATGATAACAAAGTTCAAGCTGCATGGAGCAGCCAGCCACCCCTCCCACTCACTGTCCTTAAATACAGCTTCTGATGACTAGTACCATTACATGATGTTTCCCCACTGCTCTATCAGGGTGCAATCTAGAATCAGTTTTCATTGCTGCTAAAATCTGAATCTAATCAGTGTGAATATTTCAGCATACCTAGTTCATATGTTTTGTGTGTGTGTATTTGGCTTCATTTATAAAAATATCCTAGCAGTTAGGGTACACTATCGCATTACTCTCTGTCCTTCATTTGTGGTTTTCCTCATGGTATATTTGTGTTCCAGCATATATGTGAACAAAACACAAATGTCTCATGTAAGATGCATTTATAGCATGCCATTGGACAGTAAGTCTGAATCAGTCTTGTATACAGGGATGAGTAGATGTCATGTTTAATCCAAATTTAGATGTTTAGACTGAAAAATGAGACTGCAATATATTTTCTGGTTCAAACAGAAGACTACTTTCATGTTCATCCTTTTTCTTATTTAGTACATTGTATGGATTTTCCCATACTTTTCTGTTTTCTATGTTCTTATATTAAAAAAATAAGTTAAAAATTCCCAAATACAATTCTGTAAAAATGGAGTAAATTCTTGTGACATTGTGACGAAAGTTCTTGCTCTCACAGTTCTTGCTGCTGAGCATAGTTCAAGGATTCCAGACAGCCACTGTCCCCTTGGGCTTTTCAAAACTCAGTAGGCAGCTTTATTCTCTCAAATAGGCTATGTCCCAAGTCTGTAGCCAGAGGATCCAACACAGTCTGCCAGTTGGATTTAAAGCCTGACTGGCATCCTCAGCCATTCTTTATCCTGGGGAGATAAGTTTTTTATTCAAATGGAGGACTGTGGCAAACCACTAAGATCATACTTTAAATTGGTACAAAGTATCAAGATTCTTTCTACTAGTATTACAATTTATGCTATAAAAATTCTGTCAAGATTAACCAGGAATTTACTGTAACTTCATCTTGTCCATGAGAAGTTTATGTGTCAAACTGGTGCATTTCCCCCCCACTATTTAAATAGGATAGAACTTTTATTTACCCTGTTTATATCTCCCAATAATCTCTTCAATATATGTCCTCAAGATCACTCATCTGATATTCTTTATGTGTATGCAGAAAGTCCTAATCTGTGTTTACTAATAGTCTTTGCAAAGGCAAACCTTGAGGACCTTCCAGAATGAAGCTCCACACTGGCAAGTGTAGACTCACACTCCTAGTGGTCTGTAGTGTCTAGGATTCACTTCTTCTTAATGGTTATCTTGAGTTTTTTCTGACCACATTAAAAAAACACCCTCTCTTTCTTAACTATATCCTGATGGGTCTGCAGAATATCTCTCTAGTTACTCCTCTTATTAGATCTTACATTAAATTATCCCAGATTAATTACAAAATAAAGATTATGCAGTCACCCTGTCTACCCTTGTGTTAATCTTCCTGCCTGCTTCTCTCTCTGTCCATGCATGCATCTCTAAGTTCCTTATTAGTGAGGGCAAAGTTAATTACTGTTCTGTAATTGGGATAGAAGCAGAATTTTTGGACTTTTTATTTGTCAACAGTCAGCTGGACATATTCAACCAACTTCTAACTTAGTATAGCATTTTCATCTCTTCTCCAGGGTAAGGAATAGCATAGGTTTTATGAGTTCAAGTATAGTCATATAGGAAATGTTAGGAAGCAAAAGACAGAAAATTTGCAGAAGGCTAGGATTCATTACGTCACTGTGGCAAATAACGTGCAACGTGGTATACAATCTTTGGTCTGTTAAAGAAAATTTGGCCTGTGTTTTATGTAACAGTGATTCATCTCATGTGGACTATTGTGTGCTTTATCAGTGTTCTTTGGTAGTGGGGGGAATTAATCATTTTAACTTTTGGGGCTATGTGAACATTATTCTGCTTTCAAACCTGTCTTTCCTTTGAAAAATGAAGATGTGAACAACTATGCCAGGCATTCTAGTTAACAGAGTCCAACACTGATATGAACAATTTCTTCTAACCTTAAAGGCTAACATCTCATTTTATATTTAGAAGCTTGTGGCATATCGCAGGATTTATACTCCCTCTTGCTGCTACTGTGTGGCACTGTCGGGCCCAGAATCCAGAAAGAATCCCCTATCACCTTCGTATCATCTGTATGAGGATACTCATACATTGTAGTGTTTACTGCACTGCAGTACACTGTGGATCAGTGGCATTTTGAGTCATACGTTCTTGCTCTTCTGTACAGAAATAACATCTTCTTTAGATGTGTCTCCTCCATTTTTGAATACTCACTTTGTTCATATTTTCTGACCCAGTGTGGATTAAAAATTACTCACCACATTATACAATCACTTTTCAATTCAAGTGGGTCTGGTGCGTGCTAAACTATTTGGTGACAGCTGTGGATACCTGTAATTCCAGTGTCGTGCTTTCACCAAAATAATGACAATTTCTGGAATTGTTGCTTTTGACACAAGGAGCATTTGAAAAGTGAAAATTAAATTCTGGCTTGATTTCAGTACATTAAATTGTTACTTAATAATGCCTCTTCTAAAAAATAAGAAGTTACAGTATGATATCAGTGTTGTCCAACAAAATGCAATCCAGAAAGAGCTCAAGTAGAATAAAGTTTGAAAATGAGAGGAGTGGAATCATGCTATTTTATGTAAAAGAAAAAAAAACTCTCCAGGGCAGAAAGCTCAGGAATGTGTACTTGTTGCCTTTTATAAGTCCCTCAGAATTAAAGGCTGGCAAACAGGGGCACTGAATGGCAAGGAATGAAGAGCAAGAAAATGCCTCTGCTAATAAGGAAGTCCACAAGAGATATTGAGATGGAGGACAATCTTATTTTCATATTTTTTGCCAATCTGCACTTTGACACTTAACAACTATATTGTAGCAGGATGTTAAGGCATGGATGCATAGTTTGTGTATTTGTGTCATGTATCAGGCATTCAGAAGAGTGTTTGCCATTGGCAGATGCTAGAAAGAACTATCTCTACACTATCTGGCTTATTTACAGGTAGAAAACATTTAATATTTGTGTTCTTTGTCCAGTGCTGCTGCTACCTGTAAACATTTTCATCTTCAGAATGCTGCCCCTTCATAATTTCCAAATGTGGGAAATTGACTGGATCAATAAAAAACGGGTTTGTGTTTTGAGCTGTGCCTCTTTTAAGTGTCAAAACAAAAGTGAAAATGGAGTGGCTATATGCAAACAGTAAAAATATTCTTTATAAAAGGTAAACAATTAACAGACATTACTGAGAAACAACTAAGCCAGTTGTCATATATCAGATAATGTCATTTCACAGAACTTGAAGACAAAGAGTATAATTTCTCTGGAAGTGAGGTAGTGTAGTCGCACTGTGGCTGTTTCAGTGGACAATAGGAAAGAAAAAGACAAGAGGAATTTGGCTTGTCTTCTGCTAAAGCCTTTGTGTAATTCATTAAGCAATCCTAATCCAAAATGATAGTCTAGGGCATTTGCTAATGTTTTCATGACCCAGTGAAAACATAGAGATGCTAATGCAGCTGCTCATTTACTCCCCTGTTAATACCCAACTGGATTTGGCTTCATTGAGTTATTAAAGCTGCTGAGCATTCCTCCCATGGTGACATGTTTCTCTCAGTTTTGCTTACATGCTTTCCAGCCAGTCTGGGACTGTGGTTTCACTTGAAGCAACACACTATTCTAACCACTCCTGCAAAGACTGTATTAAAACTGCAGACTTCTTCCACAGGGTCCATAAAAATCCACTCCTCTATTACAAAAGGAATAAAAGAGATGTGAATAAAAATGGTTACACAGATATTAAGTATTCTGATAATTTTTAATATTGGGGAGTTTTGTCCTTACAGACTGATTGTACAGAAGTACAGATTGCACGTACTGCTTTTTTATTGGGTTTTTGCAATACTTGCGAACAATTTTTGTCTTGTGGACAGTATATAAATTATAAGAATGATGTTGTGGCATCCCAGACACAAATGATATTTCTCCTTTTATCAGCCTTTTTCTAATTAGCTTTTCAAGGACTTGAAATCCATTGTTAAATACTCATATATTATGCTTAAACTTAAATAATATTAAAACAGCACCAAAGCAATGGTAGTTTCTGTGAGAAGCTGCAACTTGTAATTCATCATGATAAATTCACCACAGAAAAGTATAGCAAAATTAAAAACAGAGTCATATTGGATTTTTGTCTTTGGAAAATTTATTTTCACCTCAATTGCTGTCATATACTAGATAAGATAACTGAAACCTGCAGGTTGTCCCTGTCCCCATGTTTCGACTCTATGTCCTCAATGCTACAGATGCTACTCTTAAGCCCTTCAGTCTATTTGTATTTGGAATACTATATCTTTTTGAAACCGTTTCAGGTGGCAGGTTTCGGCACTGAAGAGAAGGAACTCTGCTTTCTCCCTTTTCCCCTACAATGCGTCATCCTGGCACCTTGCCCAGATGTCAGCCCTGGTGTAGGTGAGGTTGCCACAGCAACAGCACACACTTGGTCACACCCCCTATAGCTACAGAAGTCTCAGTCAGTTTGAAAGTTTTACTAGGTTTTCATTCATCTGCAATGCACTGCCCAGCCATCTGCGTTTAGTCACCCATCCAGTGCTCACAAGCCTGCTGGTAAATGGAGTAATTTTTGGAACTTTCACCTCCATCTTTTGGGATGAAATCTCTCAAGATTATTCCTGGGTGGTCAGTCAGCTGCCCAACCTGCAGTGAAGAAACCAGCTGGTCTGTCAGCCATCCCATAGACATGCCAGGCAGTTGGGCAATAACTAAGTTCATATTTAATTTTCATAGAATGTGTAAAGCAATAGTACTGTGTAATTGCAGAAGAATAAAACTGGAGTTACCAACAGAGCATTTTAAAAGCCGACTTTCTTCCTGTTGAAGCAGCAGGATAAGTTTTTGGTAATACCTAACTCACAATTCTGCTTATTTTTTCAGACATGGAGATGACTTGATTGTGACGCCGTTTGCTCAGGTAGGCACAATTTTGCTATATTTCTCACATGATCTTGTAATTTAAAGACTAAATGGCCAAACTAGTTGTTTTCTATCATTATTATTGTATAAGATATGTTTGCTTGAAACGAGAAAAATGTCTAAACAGAAAGGTGTAAACTTCCCACTCTCGTTATCTACACCTCTCTTTCTTAAAGCTTTTTGATTATCTGAAAATTGAAGTGCAACAGCACAATAAACACCTTTGATCTCTTTTCAAATACTGTAACAGGCAGTCATAATGAAGACAAATCTCTGCTTTCTGTTATTCTGTTACTTTTTATAATTACAATTTCTTCATCTGGTCATATTTTATGCATTAAATAAAATGTGATTTCTAGACATAAGTTTTACCTAGAATACTTATGTTCTTTTGCAAAACCACGTGTTTGCTTTTTTCTATTCAGAGTCTGTTTTATAAAATATCACCTCAAAATTCTTTATAATTCAGATCAAGACTTCACAATTTTTCACAATAGAGCTGTCTTATCATGTATGAAAAGTTAATATTGATATTCCTTGAACTCATGATGATAGCTTTTACTCTGAAATAGATAGGAATGAAAATCAATTCAGTGTAATTACAAAGTCATATGTGATTGAAGGTGAATGGAAAAAGAAAGGTTGAGTCACATAGCAGTCTCAAATAAGAATAAAATGTGCAACTTTAGTCTCAATATGCAGGTTGCTCTGGTCTAATAATAAGCTGTTAAAAGAATATTTATTTATTAGTTTATTAGATATTTAATTATATTGTAAGCAGATACAGTGTTTATAAAACTGGGAGCAAGTTCTTAATATGAATAATACCATCATCTTTTATTAGCAGAGACAACATTAAGCAAGGGCATTTTATAAAAATACTCTAAAGTCTCTCAAATATTAAATATACTTAAACAATAATGGAAGAGAAGAAATTACAGAAAAAAAAATTAAAAAAAAGTCAAACAACTTCTGGTTTTATTTCCTCAGGAAACGGAAAACCTAACTCTTAAGAACAGAAAAAATATAAATTTTATGATGCTTAAGCAATCCAGTAATATTTACTATCATTCCTGTTCATTGTAATCTGATTTTTGTTTACAAATTGTGCCACGTAGTTTCCCTAGAACACAGTTTTCCTAGGTTCTAGCTTCCCTAGAAAACAGTAAATAGTACACCTCATTTATGGATATCCTTTTCCTGGGGACAAACACCCTTTCTTTTAAGGGCAGTTCTGTATTCTTGTTGGCATTAATGGATGTGGTTCAGCAAATAGAGCAAAAGCAGTTGAATGCTATGGTTACTTGCACCAAGGTACTGTATTTGATTAATTGTGAGCTTCTCCAGTGCAAAACCCTGTTAGCAGTGATTTAAGTCAACCTGGTTTTATTTCTGTGGAACAAGAGAGAAAGCACTTACAGGGTGAATGATCATGTCACATTCCCTGACACAGGAGAAACTGAGATGCAGTTGAGAGAGTGTGCCTAATAGAGGGGAAGTGACATCTGATTAGACTCTTAGGAAAAACATCACCTTTATCTAAAAAGTATAGAATATGCAAAATCTCATCTCCAAGTGGGGCCTGCTGACAGATGAAGCACTGAGCCCATCCCTCTGAGTTACATTAGCAGTGTTAGGACCTCACTCAGGACTTCAGAAATTGGATGCCATCTCCCAGTACAATGTCCACACATGTCCCAGTACATGTCCACATCATAAAACCTACCACTTTAATGTCTTCCTAAAGCAATATTTTAACATGTAAGTGCATTTTTTGTGTGCATCACAGTGTGAGGAACACATGTTCGAGTTATTTCAAACCATCTGTATTTTCTTCACTTGATCAGGAAGCTTATTTCATTTGATCATGAGCCACCTGGTGGTAATAATCCTAGTTTGGCATTTCAGTTTCTTTTCAGCATATCACCATGGTAATGCAGCTGCATTTTCTATGTGGAGGCAGAGTGGCATACTGTGTCCCCCACATAGAAGCTGGTCCCAGGACGTGATAATTTACTATATTTACTAGAATGGAATATTTTTTTTAAAAAAATTATCACAAGGATATTATCAGTTGCATTTCCCTATATTCTAATATACAGCAACTGCTGTAATTTAATTATTCATAGAATTTCACTTTACAAAATAATTTGAGGGATTTGAAACTTAAGGAAAAAATCTGTAGGTTTTTAATTACCAAAAAAAAGTTCAGTATTTAAAATTTGTTTGCAACTGTTTATATATAACTTGATTTTGAAAATATTAATATTTACTTAGAGATTAAGCCTAAAGCAGTTTGCACATGATGGGTTGCTTTATGCCCACAAATGTAACTCTAGAAATACTAAGCACAAGTAGAACCTCTGTGGGCAGCGTTAACTGTCACTTAAAGAAAATTGTAGTGGAAAATTGAAATATTATTTTATGCACTTCTAAGATAATACACTTATAAATATTAATACCTTTATACAAGAAATCAAGTTGTTTAGATCCATTGTAGCCAATGACCAAACTTTTTGTTTTCGCTTATACATTTATTGCAAAGTATGTGGGGATGGCTTGTACTTGCGGAAACTGTCAATATATGTGCATTTATAACCATAGAATCATAGAATTGTTTATGTTGGAAAGGATGTCCAGGATCATCGAGTGCAACCATTAACCTAAAACTGCCAGGTCCACCAAACCATGTCCCCTAGCTCCACATCTACATGTTTTTTGAATGCTTCCAAGGATGGTGATTCCACCACTTCCCTGGGCAGCCTGTTCCAATGCAGACCAACCTTTCAGTGAATAAATTTTTCATAACATCCAATCTAAACTTCCCTTGGTGGAACTTGAGGCCATTTCATCTCAGTCATGGGAGACTTCAACCTGCCATATGTCTGCTGGAAACTCCACACACATAAAGGAGGCAGTCTAGGATGTTTCTGGAGTGTGTGGAAAATAACTTCCTGTTGCAGCTGGTAAGTGAGCCTACCAGGGGCGGTGCCTTGCTAGACCTGCTGTTTACAAACACAGAAGGGCTGGTAGGAGATGTGGTGGTCAGAGGCTGTCTGGGGCACAGTGACCATGATATAATAGAGTTTTCAGTACTCAGTGAATAAAGGAGTGGTGTCAACAAAACCTCTACCCTGGACACTGGTTCGGAGAGTCCCTTGGGAATCAGCCCTTAAAAACAAAGAGGTCCAGGAAGACTGAACATACTTTAAGAAAGAATTCTTAAAGGCATAGGAGCAGACTGTCCCTTTGTCTCAAAAGACAAGTCGTCAGGGAAGATGATTGGCCTTGGCTGAGCAGGGAGATTTTGCAGGAACTCATGGAAAGAAAGAGGATGTCTCATCTTTGGAAAAAGGGACAGGCAGCTCAGGAAGTGTTTAAGGATGTCATTAGTTCATCTAGAAAGAAAATCAAAAAGGCAAAAGCTCAGCTAGAACTTATTCTGGCCACTTCTGCAAAGGATAATAAAAAGTGCTTTTATAAATACATTAATAACAAAAGGAGGGTCAAGGAAAACATCCATTCTTTATTGTATGTGATGGGGAATATCGTCACCAATGATGAGGTACTTAAATGACACCTTTGCCTCAGTCTTCAATGGTAAGACAGGTGGACGGGGACAGGGAGCAGAGTAGACCCTCTGTAATCCAGGAGGAAGCAGTTAGTGACCTGCTGTGCCACTGAGACACTCACAAGTGGGATCAAATGGGATCCATCATAAGGTGATGAGGGAGCTGGCAGAAGAGCTCGCCAAGCCACTCTCCATCCTTTATCATCAGTCCTGGCTGAGCAGAGAGGTCTCAGATGAGTGGAGGGTGGTCAATGTGACGGCCATCCAAAAGAAGAGTTGGAAGGAGGATCCAGGGAACTATAGGCTTATCATCCTGACCTTGGTGTCTGGAAAGGTTATGGAGTAGATTATTGAGTGCCATCATGTGCCATGTACAGGACAACCAGGAGATCAGACCCAGCTGTAAGGGTTTAGGAAAGGCAGGTCCTGCCTGACAAACTTGATCTCCTTTGATGACCAGGCGACCCACCTAGTGGATGGAAGGAAAGGCTGTGGATGTTGTCTACCTGGATTTCAGCAAAACCTTTGACACCCAGCAGCATTCTCTTGGGAAAGCTGGCATCACATGGCTTGGACAGGTGCACTCTTCCCTGGGTTAAGGACTGTTGGAATGTCTGGGCCCAGAGAGTGATGGTGAATAGAGGTACATCCAGTTGGGAGCTGGTCACTAGTGGTGTCCCCCAGGGATCAGTGTTGGGCCCAGTTCTATTCAATATCTTTACTGATGATTTGGGTGAAGGGATCAAGTCTACCCGTAGTAAATTCACAGATGACACCAAGTTGGGTGGAAGTGTTTATCTGCTGAAGGGCAGGAAGGCTCTGTAAAGGCATCTGGATGGGCTGGACCAAGGCACTGACCAAGGCCAATGGTATGAGGTTCATCAAGGCCAAGTGCTGGGTTCTACATTTGGGTCACAACAACCCCAGGTAGCACTGCAAGCTGGGGGCAGAGTGTCTGGAAAGCAAAAGCAGAAAAGGACCTGAGGGTACTGGTAAACATGAGCCGATAGTGTGCCCAGGTGGCCAAGAAAGCCAATGGCATCCTGATTTTTGCCCTATACTGGCACTGGTGAGGCCACACCTTGAGTACTGTGTCCAGTTCTGGGCCGCTCAATATAGGAAGGATATTGAGGTGCTGGAGGAGGTCCAGAGAAGGGCAAGGGAGCTGGTGAAGGGACTGGAGCACAAGTCCTACATGGAGAGGCTGAGGGAGCTGGGGTTATTTATCCTGGAGAAGAGGAGGCTCAGGGGTGACCTTATCACTCTCTACAGCTACCTGAAAGGAGGTTGTGGCCCGGGGTGTTGGCCTCTTTTCCCATGCAACTAGCGATGGATGAAAGGACATAGTCTTAAGCTGCACCAGGGGAGGCTTATGTTGGACAGTAGGAGGAATTTCTTCATGGAAAGGGTGATTAGACATTGGAATGGACTGCCCAGGGAAGTGGTGCAGTCACTGTCCTTTCAGGTGTTTAAGAGAAGACTGGACATGGCAATTAGTTGCATGCTCTAGTTGACAAGGTGGTGATCAGTCAAAGGCTGGACTTGATGATCTCAAAGTTCTTTTCCAACCTAATTAATTTTGTGAGTCTGTGATTCTGTGATTCTGTGATCTTGTTCTATCACTTGTTACCTGGGAGAAAAGACTGACCTGCACCTGTCGACAACTCCTTTCAGGTAGTTGTAGAGAGTGATAATTTTTTAATGTCACTGTTCCCTGGGAGTGCAAATCTGATGGCATATATTTTTATTCCTTGCTGAATGTAAAATACGTAACTGTGCCTCCTTTTCTCCAGACTAAACAACTCCAGCTCCCTCAGCCTTTCCTTGTAAGACTTGTGTTCCATTAATGCTAAAAGCATCTAGGATGCTGGGCAGGTACTGGACATTTCACTCCTGGACCTGAAGAATAAAGAGGACATACAAAACAACAGTCAAGACTCTGCTTTCTGAAACAAGGACAGATTCATATTATTTCAGACACTAGAAAATTCTGGTTATGTGAATAGTGGTGTACACATAGAGAGACACCCTTGCAAACCTGTCTGGCACCTGAGCATGGGTCCAGCAAGCCTCATTAGCCTCCACTCATAACTGGCCTTGAGCAACCTTGCAGCTCTGACTACTTCTTTTCTCGGCACTCCTGCTGTTTAATGTCCTGTTATTTCAGATCCAAAACATACCTAAACTAGCTTCATGTTTTCAGATGGCAACATGTCTAGCCTACTAACCTGTCTGAAACTGTGCTCTGTGCAGCAAGTACAGAGCCATTCATTGCCATTCAGAACAAGCAGATCTGAGAAGCATGGCTATACCTGAGGTCACTCTCTGAGGAGTCACTTCATTACCTTAATTATGTACTTCCAATTCTCAGTGCACCTGCATATGCAGCCAGTTTGAGTCCAACAGGGTGCATTTGAGTAGGAACTCAAATTGAGTAGGAACTTGAAGCCAGGAAAACTGACTATATTTTTTCATGGCCTGGAACAGCTCTGGAAGCCACATAGATACCTTTCTCTGAAAATACTAGGACACACAAACCATCTCAGCATCCTGACACATGTAAACTGAACCCCGGCAGATTGACAAAAGAGAAGTAAAAATGGACTGCAGTCACTAAAATGAGCCTCTGAATAGGCCAAACTTCTTCTTTATGCTTTCCTTTTCCTTCTACCTTCAACTCATACTTTCCTTTTACAATATTTTCATGGTTCAGTACTTTTTCATTGTATTTGAAGTATTCGTTTTTGGATCTCTGAACTCCAAGATCATCTTTCACCTGTTCAGTTCATGCCTGATTTCCATCTGTCTACATGCAACATCTAAATACAATAATTTTTAATGTCACTGTTCCCTGGGAATGAAAATCTGATGGCATATATTTTTATTCCTTGCTGAATGTAGAATATGTAACTGTGCCTCCTGATCTTTGGAAAGAAAAACATAATGAAATTAATACCATCTAGTTAGACAAATGTATTTTTATTATCTTATCTCATTTGGTAATTACAATAGCTTGAACACTGCAAGTTATTATTAACTTCTGAATATTTTCTGTTACAGGCTTTCATTAATTTATTCTTTTCAGTCTCCTTCCCATCTCCTATATAAATTTAAGGTGCTATGAAAAGAGGGTTGTGTCCTCCTCAAATCAGACCTCTAAACCCCAAATTCCCATTCCTGCTTTCATTATCCCTCTGGTGAGTTCACCAGCCCAGTCTGGGCTGGGAAACAAAAATGGGCAACTTCTACAGACACACCAGTGGTTAGTGTGTCTGCTTCCTCCCAGTTCCAGCCTGGTTCCAAAGAACTCATGGTTCCTGTCTGACATCAACTGAACTAGCTCTCTCTTGTTAGAGAGGTTCATCTTATTATGCTTATGTGGTACAAAATTTATTGCATTTATCCATCTGCCTTCAGAAGAGAGTGCCTGTGCCACTTATAACAAGAAGACACTGCTCTACTGCATCTACTATATGATATCTTGCATGAAATTAAGTGCAGAAAGGAAATAGTTTTTCTTTTCCCAATGTGTAAAGTTTATAAGAACCTGCAGCCATTTTCCCTCTTCTGAGGTGATACCTTCCTCTTTTTCTGGTCTTCTGCACTAAGTCCCCAAATCAACTGTGCGTCTTAAAGGAGACACATATATTTTTCCTGGCAGTCTAGACAATCTTTTTCCCTTTGGAGTTTGTGGGGACTGAATGGCAAATGGAAGATTCTCTAATTATTTCTTATGCATGAAGTATGAGGCTTGAAAGGGCTAAGATCTTCCAAACTCAAACACTTTCATGGTAATTTTAAAGAAATAAGTAGTATTCTAAAGTAAAAAACTTTCCTCCTTCTCAAGTAAGCTTGCCTTTATTAAACAATGAGTTGTTTATGGGGAAAAAAAAGAAATAAACTATGCTCTCCTATTACAGACATGTTATTGTTAAATAATGGTCAAAGGCTGCAGACTAACCAACCCTGGAAACCTTTTACAGTTGTTTTGCAATGCCCTTTCCTTTTTTGTTCAGCACAGTGGAGCAGAGATAAATCAGTCTCACTTGTGCAGACATTTATACTGAAATCACTTTGTCTGTTCCAGGTGCTGGCCAGCCTGCGTACTGTACGGAATAACTTTGCTGCATTAACCAATTTACAAGATCGGGCACCCAGCAAGTGAGTGTCATTTTTTGGCCACTGAAATTTTTGCAGTGATACTTTTTAATGTAAACTGAAAATGACGATTAGATGTTACAGATTTCAGCCTGTGCCACTGAACCTGCATAAAACGTGCATGAGTAATAGTTTATTAATCCCTTGAAGATGTTATTCTTGGTAGCTGAGACAACAGCCCCCTTGCCTTCTAACTGATCTTGCGTTGCTGTCCTCACATAAACTTGGAGTGGTTTTATGCAATGATTTTCAATAAATTGGTCATATGTCAAAGATCATTCAAAGATGATTCAGGCACAGTCTGAGTCTTGCAAATGATCCTGAGTAAGCAGACAGCTGCAGTCAATGAGAGCTGCTTGCATGATCTGAACCTAGAACTCTGCCTAACTCATCCAAGATAGTGACATCCCACTCATGCAGAGTAGTTCATAATTATAAATGAGGCATTATAAATATGATCTTTCTCCAATCATGTTACAGCGTCACAGTGAACATTAATGTTACCTACACTGGCAAATTTCGTAGTGCAGTCATTTCTTTCACCCAAAATGTGCATCTCTAGAGCTTAGAAGTAATTAGCATTCCAAAGACAGTTGCCTACCATTGCATATGCAATGCTACCAGAAGGTATTTCCATGTCTCTTTGTTGAAATATGCAGACCTTATGTGTTCCGTGTTCCCTGCTTTCACTCATCCATAACTCACATCCCTATGCAGCTGTGTCAGTCCAGTATCTTATAGAGTTCTTCAACGGGCAAAACAGTCCACTGAACTGTTTGCCTTAAAGCTTATTGTGAAACGTAGATGCAAAATAGTGTGTGAAATGTACAGAAAAAATAATAGAGTGAAAAATAATTAAAAGAAAAATTTCAAGTCAGAGAACACGGGAAGCACAAGACTTGTTAGAATAATGCTAACTATGTATATAAATCATATTTTAAACTAGGTAGAAGCTCTATGTATGGTTCGGCAGGCTTTTAATAAACTTCTAAGTTCCTAAAATATTCCTATCTTAGAGTTCCCAATCTGCCAAGAGGTTTCAGAGAGGTCAGTTAGAAATTCTCTTCTACACCAGAAAGAAATATCTGCTGTAAATGAACTTTGGCAATGCCAGTGTAGTCCATTCCAAAATAATTTCCCAAGGTTTTTTTTCCCAATATTTTATTTCCCAATATTTTCTATTATATTGTTCAAGGATTTAGTCATCTGTGAGTTTATCAGGCTTAGACCTTTTTTATTTTCTTTTCAATAGACGATCACCAATGTGTAACCAACCATCTATTAACAAAGCAACTATAACAGGTAAGAAGAATTTATTTATAAAACCATCTCACTGAACACTGCATTTTATAAAAATAACCTTATATTGTCTCCTTATATATATATCCTTATATCTGTTTTATTAAAGAGGTTTTGAGTCATGTCATGACTCAAATTGGTGACTTTTAGTGTTCTATCATGTTAGCTTTTGATTTCTGTCTTATTAACCTGGTTTTAATTTAAGTTCTTTCTCAATTCTTTTTTCTTATATAGCAGTGTGTGACTGTTTCATGATTACATTCATTAGTACCTTCTTGTAATGAAACCTAGTAGAAAAAACTGGTATGAGGAATGTATCAATCTTTCTTTTTGGGATATAGAGTACTGTAGCTATAAAGGGGCAAAGTCTTTGCATTACAAGCACTTAGGCAATGAGAAGAAATTATCAAAACTGACTTTTCTGATTTAGGATGGTAAATTCTATTTCTATAACATTTGTAGTTAAGACAAAAAAGTAATTTCCTTTTAAAAGACAGTATTATTTCTAAGGAAACATTAACTAGCACTGTAAATTATGTGAATACTTTGGAAAATTCTACCCTACAGCACTTTTGGTTATTTTTATAGCAACTTGGTCTTGGTCATCTTTATGGGAATACAGTTTATTTGACCCCATATTTTTTGCATCATGTTGGTTCACATGTTCTTACACTTAGTAATTTTCCAGGTAGTTACCTTCTCTATCATGTTCTGTCAGAGTGAAAGAGCATTTGCTTTGCCTCTTGATGAAAGTATAAAGACAGTTACTAAACAGGCAAATTATCATTTAAACCAAAACCAGAAACATAATTTTCCATAATTTTCAAAATACTTTTTGCCTTTTTAATTATATGATAGCTTTGTAACTCAAGGAAGAAATGCTACTTCAGCAATTTTGAGAAGTGTGCCTTTATAACGTTCAATAGTTTCTGTCTTTAGGCTCTGAAATATGTTAAAATTGATGGTGTTTTTCAGCTAACCTCCCACAATATCCATATTTACCTCAAAAGAACACAATCATGGCAGTTCTGTACAGCTTTATTCTCCTAGGAACTAATCATGCAACATGACCATTTGTGTATAGGGCTTAACAGGAAACAGAAGGTTAAGTCTTCAAATCTATAAACAGAAAGGCAGCCTTGTTTAAGAATGTTCTGCAATCACACTTAAATTCATGTAAATTAAATAAATAAATAGAAAGAAGATATATATATATAAATAAATTATAATCACGATCCTTTGTTAATATATTCCTTTAAGAGGTAATTGGTTTCAAATTGCTCTCCATAAGCCATTACTTGAAAATACTCCATACTCAAAATAGGACTCATTCTTTGGTTTCAAGGGACTAACTTTAGAAAGCCCATTACACAGTAAAATTTGTGACAATAAATAAATACAATATCCACAAGAGCAGATGTGCATACATGTGAACACACAGTGGGCCTACCTTACATGCTCTCCCACAGTCACTTGCCTGAGGTCAGCTTCTTTTCTCCAGCAGAAGAAGCTACTCAGACAGCAAGACCCAAGATAGTCTCTGTTGGAAGACGCTGTTGCTCTTTTTAAATTCTCCCTGATCTGAAGGTTTCCATTCAGTTAATCCTTAGAGGATATTTACATATCATCCAAAATTGTAATGTTTAGAAGGAAGGTGGTACAGTAAGGGCTACAATTAGAAAATGCTTCTTTGCCAATAAATTCAAAGGAAGCAAGAAAAGGCAAAGAATACTAAGGATAATTTAATCTAATTTAGTTTTATCTGATTTCTCAGAGATGCTGCTGGAATTGCTGTGCCCAAATTATGCATTGGACTGGATGAGCTGGGGCTTCTGTGCATTGGATATAAATGGTTGAAAGACTTTAATGATAAAGAAAAAATATTAAGCCAGTATAAAGCACGAAAATGGCTACAATTCATTCTGGAGACTGAGGCTGGATACTATTTTGCATGAATGGGTTTGCCTACTCTTAGTTACAGCCTGGTTTTGGTATTTCCATGGCAACAAAGTTCATGGCATAGGCACAGAAGTATGCATAGGTATGTCCTTGGGGCATACAAAATCCTAGTAAAACACCTTGCATTACAGCACTCTGTTAAGTATGAAGATATATTATAAACACTTTTCCTGCTCTTCACAGAATATTTGAAAACCCTTTCAGATGTTACTAAGCTTTTTGAATGGGGAATGTTCAAAATGTAGCTTGTGCAGATCCTTCCTGCTGAGAAATCCTCCTGGTTGTGCTGTTTTCAGAGTCTGTGTCATGGAAAACCCAGAACAATACACTAGACAGGTAGAGCCTTATCACATCATCCAGACAGCTCAGCTAGCAATCCCAACTGATCACCAGTGTAACAAACTAGGTAACAAACAGAGTCACTAAACTATATAAAACATAAACCAGAAAACAGACACTTAAGATGGAGATTTTATGTTGCTAAGCTTCCTGGAAGACGTCTTTGGGAAGACTCTATCTGAGGAAACGGATGATCACAGGAGGGAACTACTGCAGAAGATATGGGGGAAACAACAAGAGAAAGATGAAAAGGAATTTGGTAAAGCTAAGTGACTAAAATAGTAAGAGCAAAATTCCTATTTTAAGAATTCACCCAGAGGCACAAATTTGTTGACAAGATACCTTAGCAAAAAATGAAGAAACTGTCAAATTGAGAAGTCAGGCAGCACAGGAATCATATGTTCAAATTCTTAGGAGCAACAGCAACCATGGTGGCCTTAAAATTTACAGTGATTTTTTAATGTAAATATGTAGAAGTTGATGATCAAAATAAAATCTATTCAATATATCCACATGAACGCATTTTGTAGCTTTATTGATAGAAGCTAATGAATATCAATGACATACTTGAAATTCTGTGTCAGCCAACTGTGCTATACCATACTGAGTACTCCTTTTGCAGACAGATTGGGGGTGAGATGGGAGCTTTTTCTGTAACAACAGACCTTTTAGATTGTACTTTTCGTACTTGCTTTAGACTCTAGGCTGTAAATATCTATTTTATCTATAGTCAATGTGAATAAGAGCACATGAAAACTTACTTCTGTTAGATGTCGTCTTCAAAGAGAGATGAATTCCTCCCTAAAAGTGCCATCTCTCTCCCATGACTGAGACCAGCCTGGGATAACTCTGTTTGCTGTACAGTACTTCCATGTTTGGTGTTCTGTACTTCCACTAGAAGAGAGGTTCCTCTCACTATGAATCATATTTTCCGGGCTGTGACCAAGAGGTCACTTCTGTTTCATTTCAAGTGGACATAATTCTCTTAACACAACTAGTGAAATATAAATGTTTTGTTTTCAAAAAAAATTAAACTATCTGTGACTCAAGGATTGAACTTGCAGGTTTTATACTACAAATCTGTCCTCTCATCCAGATCACACTTTCTGAGTTTGCCTTTGAGGAGATTGTGAGAGACAGTGTTGAAAGACTTGCTGAAGCTGAGTTAGAAAATATTCACTGCTCTCTCCTCATCCATTCAGGTAGTTGTTTCATTGTAGATGGCAATCAGGTTGGTCAAGCATGATTTACCTTTAGTCAATCCATGCTGACTACTCCTGATCACCTTCTTGTCACCCATGTGGCTAGATGGCTTCTAGGAGTAGCTCCGTCTTTTCCAGGGATTGAGGTGAGGCTGACTGGCTGGTAGTTCCCTCAGTCCTCCTTCTTACCCTGTTTGCAGATAGAGGTGATATTTGCTTTCTTCCCATCCTCAGGCACCTCTCCTGATTGCCATGACCTTTCAAAAGTGATCATGAGCAGCTTCACTATGGTTTCCAACAGCACTCATGGATGCACCCTGTCAGGGCATATGGACTTGTGGATGTCAAATTTGCCTAGGTGTTCTCCAACCCAATCCTCCTTGGCCAAGAGAGGATTCTTTTACCCGGATCTCCTGGGTCAGAGGTGCCTGAGGGCTGGTATTGTCAGTGAAGACTGATGCAAAGAAGGCATTCAGTAACTCTGTCTTCTCTGCATTGTCTGTTACCAGACAATTTAGTACCAAAGTAGTCTTTGTTTTCATTTTGTTATTGATGTATCTGGAAAAGTCATGTTTGGGATTCTGCCATAGCACAACAAGGAATAAAGTAAACATGAGAATAGGAGTGGACAAAAAAATCAAAATCATACCAAACCAACAAATAAACAAGAAAACCCCAAAAAAACCAAAACCAAACCAAACAAAATGTCCAACAACAACAACAGCAACAACAAAAGTATTCCCATGGTAGACTGCAATGTCAAACCTTTTTGGCAGAGGTGATGTAAAATGTTTATTGTTTGAAAAAAGTTTATTGATTGAAGAGTGCTTTCCTGAAGCACTGGAGAAATCTGACAGCCTATTTTGAAAGAGGGATTTGTTTGATAAATTGGCCTTTGTTCTTTGTGTAGTATGTTGAGTGATATGTAAATGTTCTGTTCCTTGTATTTTTGCTTATACCCATACACCTATGGATATTTTGAATGCATTTTACTCACTTCAGCCAATTTTTTTTTATTTCACTGTAAATAGCACAGACACATTCTCAAGTGTGAATGTGATTTGTAGCATTTTCACCTAATTCAGACGGTGGTAAATGCCATCTGTTATTTGAGAAGTTAGCACATATGTATCTGCAGACTCACAGCAGGTTAACAGTATACATCACCAGTGGTTGAATTCAAAAATTGCAAGTGCTTATATGCACAGAAATCACTGGCACACACATGCCAGTACACTTCAGTTTACTTCCTAGGGGACTTTGTGCAATACTCACATTTAGGACCAGAATTCTCACTAACAGTCAGTTAAATGTGCCCTTTTAACTTCTCCAAATGCTTTAAAAATTCCCTTTCTTTGTAAATTGCATGAAGACATCAATATTCATTACAACTGTTTCCTCAAATGGACCCAAACATAACATTCTTTTGTTTAGTCTGGATTTTAATATGTGAAGAGTAGTAGAACAAGAGAGAAGAATTGACAAACTGGATAAAACTATATT